AGGAGGCAGAAGAAAAGGAAACAGACAGAGTCATATACCTCAGTGGTCCTTGTTCTGCTTGGTCACAGTCTGGAAGATTTGGTTTCCTTACCCTGCAAAAATCCCACTTAGGACTCAACAAAAGCAGTGTGGACTATTTTCATTTATTAAAATACTGCCCAGAGAAATGCAAGCATCTCGGCTTCACGGCAGCCTTCATCAAGGCATTGGCTTCAGCCTGAAGCACTCTGTGAAGTTCACAAGCTTACATCCATGAACTGACTTCTCTTTTTAGGACCAAAACAGGAACACTTATCCACTATGCAGGAACAACGTCTCCCCGTGCATCTACGCTCAATCATTGTTTCTCTCTCTCTAGAGAGAGAGATCATCTAGCATCTACATTGCATTCATTTAGACTTTGGACACCGATGTGCCATTTCTCGGAGCTTGGAAAAGATGTTTTCTGGGCTATAAAACTGGTTAGGGAATTCCGGGAGTCATTTTTTAAAAGTCATTTTTCACAGTTTTGCTTCTTCAGGGAGGCCAGTAGTTTTAACTTGTTCCTTTTACTGCTAACTAGCAGTACCCAGCTCCATCCAGGTTAGAAGCCCATCCCTTCCACTCGGACTCCACTTACCTGTGCCCTGCCTTCCCCCACCCCATTTTTGCCTAGACACTGGACTCCTTCCTCCTTTCCTCCCAATCTTCAGCCCACCACTTGCTCTGGTACCTCCAGGTGCACGGAAATGGGGATCCCTATGTTGAAATTTGGGAGGTGATGGTTGCACAATTGCATTCATCCAAATGTCTTAGCAAAATTAAAGGGGGAACCGACTTATTTGTATTTACTCATAAAAAGGAAAAAAAGTATTAATTCCCCCCCCCCAAAAAAACATGCAAAACAGCCCAGAATGGCTTCTTCTTTGGAAACCTTCACCCAACTATTACTGTCCTAAAAACCAACAATATTTTAGCCTATGTTGTTTGTAAGATTTATTTATGCCATGGCATGTTATCTCCTGTGCCAATTTTTTAAAAATACTAATTACAAAACACTAGAGATGGGCATGAACCACAAGTCCAGTTCATACCAGGTCATTTTGTGGCTGTAAAGGTGTTTGGTGCTCCCAGTCTTGCCTCCTCTGGTGGGCACCTACTCAGAGGCAGGATTCACTGGGGTGCTGCCTCTGAATGGGCACCCACTGGACGAGGCGAGGCTGAGAAGCATAGAACACCTGTTCAGCTAATAAATGAACCAGTGGGTTTGTGCCCCGCTCTGCTTGAAAACCCCTTGCTTTGTGATGAACGGCCCAGATCCTCCCCAGCTGAGTCCAATGTTTGGGAAATGTACCTTGGCTAACCCAGTGAGCCAATCCCAGAAGGAAGAGGAGGGCAGACATCGTGATCCACACCGGTTAATCGAAGGGTGAGTGTCTAGGGAGCAAAGGAGGGAGAGCAGGTGGTTAGGTGCAAGACTCTGCGGAGACGGGTCCCTCTTTGATGTTATGGGCTGGGCGCCTAGGAAGCTGCCTCATTCCAGGCCAATGCTAAGGTGGCCCCTTTCTCTCCTAGGGGATGGCCCTGTGTCACACACACACACACACAAAAGAGGAAACACTGATTTGCATGTCTGGTGGCAAGGTTGGACATGATTTTAGAATTTGTACAGTATTGCAGTACATCTTGTTTAAGTAGAAAAGATGTTCACCCAGGGACCCAGGTGCTAGCTGCTGAGTTCAACATCTGGGAAATTTATATACAAACCCAGGGGGTACCCATGGTGGATGATGGCCAACTTCAATGTCCCTCATCTCTCTCCTTCTTGGTTTTCTTTAAATTTAAATTAAGATCGGGCTGGTTTGCTCTTCAAGAAATGGACCCCTCCAGCAGAAAGAAGAGTCGCCTTTGGCAGCCTTTCCAAGAGAGAACTGTGAAAGAGGACACCCCCCCACACACACACACACTGGTGAAAGCAGTTGGCACCATCCAGCCCAAAGTAATCTGCTGGGACATGCTGCCAAATGTTAGGCCACGGAGTGTCCCAAAACCTGCTCCCTGAGAGCCTTTTGTTAGAAAGAGCAGTGTTTGCTCCAACGCTCAGAGAAGTTACTTTGGGGGATTAGGCATTTCCCGACAGTTTGGTTCATTTATTCTAGTCTGAAACAATATCATTTCCTAGCGCTGGAGACCTTCACACATAGAGCATAGGCTCTATGAGTAAGCCTTGAAATGCACCACAGGTGCATTTCAGGAAAGCACCTGCCAGAAGATCCAGGTAACTCTAGCAAGCAATTCCTCTCCTTGGAGCATGACTTCCTTGTTGGTTGATTGTTCCGTTAAGTTTCTACCGTGACATGTCCTTAAGCTCATGGAAGCAAGCATGGCTGCTCTTCCTTCTGCCCCCCCTTCAGAAGAGCTCTCTCAGAGGGAGAGGGAGGGAAGGCGGAAGGCCGGCCAGCCCAAGCCGAAAGAGTTTCACAGCTCAGCCAGGACATTAAAGCGAGCTTTCCAGTTCTCTGGTGGTCCTCCTCTAACTGTCTTGGGTGAATCTTCGCTGCTGATGTTGTGCACTGCACAATGGAACCTGCTGGGTCATTAAAGCAGAATAGAAATCTCGTGAACAACCATCCAGATGGGCATGATTCACAAGCTGCCTGCGTGATTTCTCTCCTTTCACTGCAGCTTCCGTGACAGGGAGGTGCGAGAGAAAAGGGAAACCCTCAGCCAGGCAGCGATATCCAGTTTGGGGGTGAGTGCTGCCGGATGTCATGCAAGGGGACATGTTCCTGAAGCCAGAAATAGCTGCCTCCAAAAACCCCTGGTGACGTCCATCAAGGAAAGAGAAGGAAGGAAGGAAGGAAGGGGGCGTTCATCTTGGCCACTTGCTATAAACACCCCAATGTTTCTTGGCCTCCACCCGTCATGCTGCTCTTGTTCCAAGTTTCGTTTCTCATCCTGCTGTAGTCTGCTCTCGGCAGAGCCCGAGTCTATTCTCAAAGGCTTTCGTAGCCAAGAAGTAACAGTTGTTGTGGGTTTTTCAGGCTCTCTGGCCATGTTCTAAAGGTTGCTCTTCCTGATGTTTCGCCAGTCTCCGTGGCCGGCGTCTTCAGAGGACTGGAGTCGGAACTCTGTCCATGCCGAGTTTGTTTGCCTTCCTTCTTTTATGGCAGAGGGAGAGAGAGGCAGCAGCCCAGCCTGGCCCAGAGGCATCTCCAGAGGTGGACGGAGGAGAAAGTCACGACTCTTTGTCTGAAAATCTTTGTCTGACCTCTTCAGTCTCCTTTAGAGATGGGCACGAACCACCGGGTTCGGCAGTTTAGGGGGGTGGGTTAGCGCTTCCCAGCCCCGCCTCCCCTAGCAGGCACCCGCTCGGAGGCATCGCCCACCGGAGGAGGTGGGGCTGGGAGGTGCAGAGCACCTCTTCGGCTGATCAACGAACCAAACCGGCACAAATTGCAGTCTGTGCCCATCTCTCGTCTCCACGCACAGCAAAACCTGCAGAACCCATTCATCTCTTTCCTCACCAAAGCCAGTGTGACCTCTTAGAGCAGTTGGCCTTGGAAACCAATTTTTCTATGAGTTAAATTCTGAAAATGTTGTCTATTTTGGAATAGAAGGGTTCTGTCCTCCCAGAATCCCCAGGACAACATGACTGGCTGATGGGTAGTCCAGAAAAAAATTACTTTTCTAAGCATGAATGTGAACATTTCCCAGTCATACAATGGCTGGTTAAATACTGACCACCACAACTGGTACTAAGTGTACTTCTGTATTTAAAGTGTGTGCTTCATCACCGAATAATTTGCACTGGCTTTGCCCTCCATTGGGGCAGGGGGACATTTGGCCCTACAGATGTTTCGGACTTATAAATCCAGACAATGTGATCCATAGTTTACAAAAAAAATTATAAGGGGCCTGTCACCCAGAACACTGGAGGCCCCAATGTTTCCCAAGTCCCACCCTACTTACATTTTCTAGGCTTGAAGTGAATTTAAAATTGATTCTGCATAAATGTGCCAGAGAAAGGCAGGACCGAGGTGAAGAAGTTTAGGTGCTTCATCGGCCATCTGTGCCTTTCGCGCAACCTTTTCTTTTTAAAAAATGTATTTGTGATTCTATTTGGGACTTTTGCATCATCAGAATGAACATCAAAATGGATACGGGTATTGACGTGGCAAGCCTAATTCATTCAGGGATAGCACCCCATTGGTAGTCCCACCTAGAGTAGACCCACTGAAAGATGGGGCAGTTTACAAGCTTACTCAATATCTTTCGCCTCTGCAGAGTGGAGGCTCACAGCCCTTAGAGCAGCGGTTCCCAACCTTGGCTAACCCAGATGTTCTTGGACTACAACTCCCAGAAATCCTGTCCAGCACACAACTCGTGGTGAAGGCCTCTGGGAGTTGTAGTGCAAGAACATGTGGAGACCCAAGGTAGGGAACCACCGCCCTAGAGCAGTGGTTCTTAACCTTGGGTTACTCAGGTGTTTTTGAACTGCAACTCCCAGAAACCCTAGCCAGCACAGCTGGTGGTGAAGGCTTCTGGGAGTTGCAGTCCAAAAACACCTCAGTAACCCAAGGTTAAGAACCACTGCCCTAGAGTAACGATAAAGGCTTGGGATGGTTTTGGATGAGGTTAAAGGAAGTCAATAGAAGCCAGAATGAGTGGCTTTACCTGCAATTGAAGGGATGAATCGATCTTCCAAGATGAAAGTCTTGGTCTGGAGAACATGAACGCCTCGTTTGCCTCACCCACAGCTTTTCCTACGAGGAGGTTGGCAGCCTGACTCTTAATGGAGAGGCAAGCTGGGATTTCAAGATGATTGTTGCGTTTTTAAGATGGAGACGTGAAGTTTATTCTTACCATCTTCTTTTTATAGGCTTTCTTGTCTCCAGCAAAATGGGGAGGGGGACCATTCAGGGTGAAATCTAACCTTCTTTGAGAAGGTGCTGTTCTTTCCTCTTTGCATTTGCTCTAACATTGAGAGCTTCCCCCTCATCCTTTTTCTAACATGATAGGTAACAAAGACATTTGTTATCTCAACAGATCAGAAAAGAACACAGTGTAGGCTTTGCATGCAATCTGAAAGCAAAGGTGGGTCACACCTTTATTAGATCCCTAAAAATATCAGTAATGGTACCAGGGGTGAAGCACGGAAGGACACCCCCCCAAAGCCTGCTTTAGACTCCCCTCGAGAGGAGGATACCTGGCAAACTTTTTGCTACACATTTCTCAGACATTTCATTTATAATTTTTCTGCACTGCTCACAAGTTACTGATGCATGTCTAAAAAAAGTGGGTTGCATTAATTAATTGTGTAATGACCTCACAGCCTCCTTGGTTATTTATTTATTTGTTTATTTATTTGTTTATTTGTTTGTTTGTTTGTTTGTTTGTCTCCCTGATATTTTCAGTCATCTAATAAAGGCATCACCCATTCTCGCTCTCCATTCATGATTCCAAAAGCTTGCAAAAATAAATTTTTTGTGCCTCTTTCCTAATGCAATTTTGCAAGATTGGGGAGGGTGGAACAAAGGAACACCTCATGAACCTTGTGTTCCAGTGTAGACATCACTCAAGTGAGTATTTTAAAAGACTGCACTGAACTTAAGACCCTTTCATACATGGACAGGATCTCACTAAATTTGCCAGGGTGATCGGGCCCATGAATGTCTCTCCCCCAAGTCAAAGGTTTAAACTGGATGCCCATCTGATTTTGTAGGTATTTTAGTTGTGGATGCTCTCTACACTGTGTTGCTAGTAAATAGAAGACTCCCTCCAGTGTAGATCTGGAGGCGCCTTCGCATGAGTGTTGGGTTGCGCATTTGAATATGCAGGTGAGCAAACAGATCTGTACACCTGTTTTGGGACAGAATCCTGAGCGATGGTTATGATATGCACAACTTAACACAGTGTAGGATCAGGTTTTCTAAACAGTGGAGACCTTCGCTGGCCTGATGGATTGAGATGGGGCAATAACCCTGGCAAACCATCTCCTCCACCTGGAAGTTCTAATGAGCAGCCGCTGATGGTGGACCCCTTGGAGATTTGGGCTGAGAGTAAGAGCCCGATCACTTGTTTCATTTCATGTCGAGTGGTAAGGAAGCAAGTCCCACAGGGAGCTCGTAGAGAAGGCGCAAACATATATATCATTGAACCCTACGGAAGACTCTCCCCCCCCCCAAGTAACTCAAAATAATCCAGAACTCTAATATTAAACTTACAAAATCAGTAAACTTTAAAGAAAATATATATAAGATATTTTATAGACGGCACATGACTCCAACCAAATTGTCTAAAATGTATATTAAAAAAAACTCCCAAAAATGTTGGAATGTAAAATGCAGGAGGGTACTTTTTATCCTATGCGGTGGACATGTAGGGAAATAAAAAGTTATTGGAGATCAAACCTTTCAATATATGAAAGGTTACAATTTCTTATGTGATACCATTTAAACCGGAATTGTTTCTACTGAATGTTAGGAAGTTACAATTTCTTATGTGATACCATTTAAATCGGAATTGTTTTTACTGAATGTTAGGACTGAAATTGTAGATGAAGAAATGAGAGATTGATAATACCTGCAATCGTGGCATCGAGGATACTATAAGGGAAACGTTGGGAGAAAGAAGAGGTACCATCTCTGGAGGAACTGCTAGAAAAGACACTGGAAGTGGCGGAGATGGATGTGCGAACAGAAGCAATAAACGAACGATTGTGCTCAAAAAGGACTCAAAAAAATGGGAAAGGTTTCATAACTGGATCCGAAATATGGACTGGAAAGCATAGATGGAGGAAGTATGAGAAGGTCCAAAGAAATGGGAAGAGCTGGAAAGATAGATGCGTACTCTGGGAAAACTGTTACATGGTTTACTTATGTGATTTCCCTTTTAACATAATTAAGTAAGTGGACGTAAGAATACTCTTTTGCTCTCTGGAGTTTTACCCCTTCCCCACCCTGCTATCCATTTCTTCCTTATTCCCTTGTACCCACTCCCAACCCTCCCCCTTATTGAAAATGAATAAAACTTTTAACAACAACTACAACTACAACTACAGCTACAGCTACAACTACAACTACAACTACAACTACTACTACTAGTAATAATAATAATAATAATAATAATGCTAATACTACTACTAATAATCATTTTTTTGGGGGTTAGAAGGAAGGGCAGCACAGCCCCTCCCCCCTCCCAGGGTTTCTATTAATTACATTTATATGGGGGGGGGTTGGCTTGTAAAGCCACTGAGGGGGGAAAGCTGGGGGATAATAATCCAATACTCTGCAGGAAAGCTGGGTTCTCCTTACACTTCTCTCTCCTCACACCTTGCACAGGTTCCACTCTAGGTCTGAGGTTGATGTCCTGGAGAGGGAAATTTTGAAAAGGGTGGTTGGAAATGTCAGGAAGGAGAGGCAGGTTCTATTCCAGCGGCTTTCTGTGGGCCTTTCTTACGTCCTTGTTCCACTGGTGGATCTACTGCCTTCTCATTCTCTCTCTCTTTTTTTTTATAATTTTATTTTTTAACATAAGGGATGACAAAAAGGAAAAGGGGACTTGGGAATTTATGGGGAAGAAGAGAGACCATAGCATGCTAACAACCATTCTAAACTTAATGCCATATCATAGTTTTAAATTATTCTGTTTTCTCTTTTCTGCCTTTTAGATTAAGCTCTCATTTCAGTATATGCTATTTACACGTTGCCTGTTAATTTAGTCCATTTGTTAAATAGATCCCATCTTTCTGTTGCCTTTTGCAAGGGATAATCCTTCATGACTTCTGATAAAATGTCCATTTCTGCTATTTCCCGTATTTTTTCAATAAGATCTTCTTGCTTCGGTATCGTAGTACTGCCTTCTCATTCTCAAATCATGCCTGATATTTCCTAAATATTATTCCACCCTCTTTATGTGTGTCCTTGAGTTTCTAACACGACTTCCCCTCGCGTGCAGCCAGGTAGCTGTCTTTTGAAGCCAAGGTTTCGTTGGCATGTTCTCTCCATGTCTCCCTTGGCTGAGTCCTAGACAGCTTTGGGCGTACCTTTTATTATAGCCAACAAGAGAAGCTAAAAGCCGTTAAAGGTTGCTTACAAAGCTAGCAGCAGGCCGGGCAAAGGCCAGGAGAAACCAGCCTGGATACTGGTGGGAATCCGGAAGAAGCCTGAACCACCCACCAACCAGGTAGCAGCGCAACAGTTGTTCTGTCTTACCTTCTCGTGGATCGCAAAGAGGGGCAATCGTCAGTGCTTTTGGTACTGTTGGGATGTTTTGGGACTGCTGAGTGATCCCGGATCCTGCTCAGGGGCTCCAGATGGGATGTGGGATCTTAAGGACATGACAGTCCAAAGATGACGCTCAGTTTCCTCTTTAAGGCAGCTTTATAATGCCTTCAGATTTGGGAAGTCCCCTTTGTGCTGTCAGCTGTTCTCATTCAACATGATGTTCTTTCCAAAAG